CTTCTTGATCACACCTCGTGCATGATGTTTTTGCCCAATTCATGTAAAGCCCTACAAACAAGCCTACGTCTGCTGCTTGGTGCGCACAGCTAACAAGACTCGTCTCGCAGGGCATGATTCTGTACAGTTTGTACAAGAGCTACGCGGGTCTCCCGGAAAGCTCCTCCCCTTCATGAACAACGAGCTTCACCGATCAAGCAGGGCAGCGGCGCTCGTGTACGCAGCCATCATTGCAACTGTCGCCACAACTGTCGTCACGAATTAAAAAAAAAGGCTAGACGAGAGTTGAACTTCCAAGAATCTTTTAATGAGGCGAATTTTTCTGCCCGCAACTAAAGCAAGGAAGGTATACCGTACTAATGGACTTAGAACGTGTTGGTATCGGATCAAGGTTCAAGAGAGAATAAACAAAGTAGGACAAAGATAACACAACCACATCTTTCGAAGACCGTACGTACGTACTGCGACGGCGACGATAGTGCAACAGCCCCGATTTGACAGCTACTGGAGCCCCTGTAAACGGAAAAGTGATGCTATTCCCCCTCTCCCAGCCTCAGTCTCTCCCTGGCTGCACGACGCCATTTTTGAGCGAAGGTACCAGTCAGTGACATCACGTGCGTACACCGGGCGTCGTGGTGTGGGACTACGTGACATCATCTATCTATTAGCGCCGAGATGTTTTCGTGGCGCCCCCTTATGGTTTCCCTCCGTGACGTCATGACTGGGATTTGCCTCGCCGTGACGTCACCAGTTGTTATTCTGGCTACTTACCATCGGGTACGACGACTAGTTCGATGGTGTGCTTAAAGAGCACATGCAGTAGAAGCTAGGAGCCATCGCAATCTGAAACACCGTCAAAGTTGACAATCTGACAGTGCTCATATGTCCATCGTTTGGCCAATCATGGAAAGCTGACCACAGCGACGCTTTTGGCCGCACACATCGCTAATAGTCGGTGACAGGCTAAGAAACAATTCAGTGCGCACTCAGCCTCCATCTTGAGCTTTCTCGCACGCGCAGCTGAGGCCCAGTGAAAGGCAACCAGCGCGTGCTGAAGGCGGAGCTTCCACTCTATTAGCGATGTGCACGACCAAAAGCGTCGCTGTGGTCAGCTTTGCCCCAGAGCCGTATATGTAGAGAGTTTGGTCAATGGGAGGTGCGGGCAGAGCCAGGGCGTGCGTCTGACTCGGAAAGAGGGCTTGGCATGCTCTCTTGACCAACCAGAAGCCGAAAAGAATCCCCTAGCGGTGGTAGCGAGAAACAGTTCTGATCAAAAGTCTATGTTCGTATATGGTTTTAATAAGCGCGTAAGAGTGAAGTGTAGTAACTCTTTGTGGTTGAATATAGGGTGCACTTGTTGTTTTCACCATGATCATGCAGAAAGATGTAAGAAACGAATGCGCCGCTCAACTCTGTTTTGCGCGAACAGAGTGTGACCGCTCGGACGGCAGATTCTCGGCCCTCGGCGCTTGGCGTACGGATTATGTCGATCGTTCCGCTCGTCGCACTCTTCCACCATCATTTTGGATGAGCGTGATTGAAACATCACGTGTACCATATTTTCAGTCATCGAGAGTTACTTCAGTGCAGTTATCAGGTTTGTTTCTCGCGACCACCGCCAGTGTATTATTTCCGGCTTCTGGTTGGTCACATTCGAATTTCTGAAGACGCCCTGGAACACGCCCAGCCCGCTTTCAGCCAATGGCGCCTCCGCATTTGTCTCCTATACTTCCCAACGAATGGCCAAACTCTCTACATATACGGCTCTGCTTTGCCCGATTGGCCAAACCATGGGCATATGAGCACTGTCAGATTGTCAACTTTGACGGTGTTAGCTTCGGATTGCGATGGCTCCTAGCTTCCACTGTGCTTTTTAAACACACCACCGAACTCGGCGTCGCACCTGATGGTAAGTAGCCAGGATAACAACTGGTGACGTCACGGCGAGGCAAATCCCAGTCGTGACGTCACGGATGGAAACCATAAGAGGACGCCACCGAAACATCTCGGCGCTAATATATACAGGGTGCGGCCGTAAAAACTTTCACAATTGGCACGCCTAGCAAAAATCGAATTTCAAACATACATACCTGAAATGGAGCACACGAACGTCGTTTATTCCAAAGTTTTTTGCCTATTTTTTTCAGACGTCAACTCGGGAGCAGCGAATTATTAGAAAGCTAACAAAAATGGCAGACTTGCATTTCCTATGGCCTATACCCGCCCGTTCGCCGTCTGCTATCTGGTTCGCGGCGCCGCTCCCAGGAGGCGCACTGAACGCAAAAACGCGGGAAACGCCACACGAAAGGCTGGTGTCGGGCGAGATAATCGTGATAAAAAGTGATTTAAACAAAGAAAATGAACGATTGCTGAAATTACCTGTTTCAAGCCAAGTTTTGACAGATCGTCATGCAAGCAAGAAGACATCATGATGCGACGAGATCATTTATTTACAGCCTGGAATAGCAAGTGGTGGTGCTACCGCTGCAGAAAAGTTCGTTTTGAGTTATCATTTCATTCTGATTTTTACAAGGGCCGCTGTAACACATAAAGTAATCTTTTTTTTCATACAGCTTGGGTATAATTAACACATATGTCGTAAGACATATTTGTAAAAAAGAAAAGAAATCATATTAATTGGAGCAATATTTACGGCGCTGGAGTCATTTCGGTGGTCCGGTGATAAAATGGCTGGTATTTGAGAGAAATAGTCGTCTTTTTGCTGGTTTCCCATTGGTACCTCTATCAGCAGCCTCTACTTTGCTCTTCGCGTTCGGCAAGCAGCACGACAGAAAGTAAGAGGGAAACTAATAGTTTAAATTCCATCAGGAAGTGGAGGTTGTGCGTTCATTCAATTGTTTATTCTTGAAAAATACATCTTCTGATACGTCTCTTCTGAATGTTGATGCTGCAGCGGCACTTTAAACGACTACGGTTCGGCCGATTCGATGTGCCCGCCGTTCACAGACACGCAAAGCCGAAGTCGAGCTTCGTACGCCAGGAAAGCCCTTTCGCGCATCCCATCGTCGATCTCGAGGAACGCGCCCTCAATTTTTTCTTTCAGCATCTTCGATGCTGGGGATCCTCTTCTTGTAGACAAGTCCTTTTATAAATCCCCATACGAAAAAGTCGCACATATTTAAGTCGGTGGATCGTGGAGGTCAGTCCATATTATCTGATCCCCGACCCATCCACCGCAGAGGGAACGTGTTATTGAGCCATGCCCTCACACTCTTTGCGTAATGGGGAGCCGCCCCATCCTGCATGAATATACAGTTTTCTTTTGTCATGTGGTACCTTCCAAGCTCAGGGAGCATTTCCGTTTTTCAGCATGTCCAAGTAGGCGTCTGCGTTAACGGTACCATCGAAAAAAAAGGCGCCCACTATGCCTTCACGCCAAATCCCACTCCACACTGTCACCTTCGGTGAATGGAGATGCCATTCGCTCACTGCATGAGGGTTATCGCGAGCCCATATCCTGCTGTTCTGGCGGTTCACACGTCCATCTAGGTAAAAGTTTGCTTCGTCACTAAATAAAAGAAATTTCACGTGCCCCGGGTTGCTCTTAATTCGCAACAACTGTATACGCCTTGCAAAATTCTAAACGTCGGACGTTATCGCCGTCGTGCAGGGCTTGGACAACTTACATCTTGTACGGGCGCAAATTATTTTTCCGCAGAATTCATCGTACGCTTTTTTTTTTCCGAAATTCCAAACAACCTGGCTGCTCATCTTGTTGACAATTGCGGGTCGCTCTCGAAGACAGCAAGCACCGTTTCAATGAGCTCCTCATTTTTCAGCAGGCTCTCACGTTCACTGACTGGATTCTTCTTTTTAAAGTCTTCTCCACTGATAAAACGATTCGCACAAGTCAGAATAGTCGGGCGTGAAGGCGGGCGTTTAGGAAAAGCAATGCGTAGGTTTTGCTGTGCTGTGGTCACTGAGTTCCGCTCCACGTACCACTTGACTGCCTGGGCACACTCACTTGCCGAGTATTGCGGCATCGCAGGGCGGCGCGGAAAATATTTTGATAATAACTGCAGAAAATAGTCCAACAAAAACAATAAATAGGAACAATCAAAATGCCTCAGCAGCGGCACTCTTGATTCCAAAGTTGAGCTTTCACCGGGAACGGACCCGTCAACAGATAAGCAGACGACAAAGGAAGACACACGTTCGTCTGCTTTAGAACATATTTTTACTAAACGAGGGCGTCCGCCAGTTTCTAAATTTCAAGTAAAAGGGCATAATCATTCACATATTTCGGTAAAATCACTTTTGATCGCGATTATCTCGCTCGACACCAGCCTTTCGTGCGGCGTTTCCCGCGTTTTTGCGTTCAGTGCGCCATCTGGGAGCGGCGTCGCGAATTAGATAGCAGACGGCGAACGGGCGGGTATAGGCCATAGGAAATGTACGTCTGTCATTTTTGTTATCTTTCTAATAATTCGCTACTCCCGAGTTGACGTCTAAAAAAAATAGGCAAAAAACTTTGGAATGAACGACGTTCGTGTGCCCCGTTTCAGGTATGTACGTTTGAAATTCGATTTTTGCTAGGCGTGCCAAATGTGAAAGTTTTTACGGCCGCACCCTGTAGTTTCATAGTTATTAATGAATGCGTCCCTCTCCGAGCAGTAGTTTGGTGATGGTTCCTGCACGTAAGGTGCAAAATACATAAGGACACATGCAACAACCACTGTAACTAACTGTAAATTCACACAAGTCCGCTTTTTAATGTGTATGCTTAGATTTCGTGCGCTTTTTGGCCGATTTTTAGCACATGTATTCAAACCTCACCAATGGATACATAAGTCTTTAGTTTTGAACACATAATATTGGTATACTTATACCAAAATAATCATAATATGACTGGTTTGCTCCTTTTGATTCTGCGGTCAATCCTTTGAGATTCGGCATGGTAAAGTGGTTCCAATTTCAGGAAGCAATAAAGTAGGATTTATTTCTTCTAATAACAAACAACAAGGTCTTGTAAATTCGGTTTATTGGGCGGCATACGTAATTTTGGGAGCAGACTCCAACACCTTGACGTACTTCTTTAGACGGAGGATGGTGTATACCTGCAGTGGCGGGCAGTTGAAGCTCGTTACCATGATATTACTATTAGCACAAATAAAAAACACTTGGTGCGCCAATCGTGAATTGAAGGCGGAACAAATATCAGCGGCTTGACATTTACTGGCACATTTTTTCAGTGAGCACGCACCCGTCGTTAACAGAAGGCGAGGGTTAGTCCACCATCATCCTCGTCTCGGTTCTGCTAGTTTCGACTGCCAAGTTACTATACTCCGTTTCACCTTATGTTGTACCTCTGCGAAGGCTAGAAGCGCGAGCTCTTAGCATTGGCCGCTGCCCTTAATGCATGAGAGCTTGTGCCCCGAGATGTGGCCTAGAGCCAGGAGCTCGCGCTTATAGCCTTTCCTGCGGTACCTAATATGGTGAAATAGAGTATAATGAGAACATGGCGTGCATATTTTATGTAAGGCTATTCGCGTGTTTGCGCGTGACTGTGGCCAAGTGCGTTGTGCCCTTTTATAACAGCTAACGACGAAATAAAATGCTGGCCAACTGGCGCCATCCGGCCTTCCATAGCCGTGGAATAATTTCGATATGCGTACAGTAAGATTGAAAGTTTTGCAGTACGCAAATTGGTTTCAGGTTGCACTACGCAGTATGCAGATATACGCAGATCGGGATTTGTTGCGGGGCTACCTCATAGATGTCGCCAGTGTGCCGTCTCGTCGTAAGCGGTCTCAAGCGGTTGGAACGCAATCGATCACATTCAGAGGCAAAAGTCGGAACCAACCTTCATATCAACATGCCGATGCGCACTGGAGCGATTGAAACTGCACTGGAAGTTTAGAAAATCGTGTAACTTGCTATAGCCAAAGCGGGAAGCGATCATCCAAGAATTTGGTTTTCTCGCCACAGAAGAAAAAATTAATATATAACGAGAAAATTCTTTTCGGACGTTGTGAGGGAATTTCTCCGCATTATAGGGAGCTGGTATAGGGGAAGTGATGAGTTTAGCTTATAGCTGAAATATACGGAGCTTGAATTCAGATCAATTAGTGATTTGGGATTTTCTTTACTATGTATGTGTGTACTCTTTATCTCAGACGAAAAAAGCCGGGAAGGGGGGTCCGAAAGAAGACAAGCAGCGTTCTGACGAAGTCCCAGCCTTGGTTACAGCACTAAGAAACATAACACAAAAATATTTACGCTGCAGTTACAAACCGCGCAAAAAGATACAAAACAATCGTAAATTTTAGATCCCATTAACATCGAAATTACAATTGAAAACGAGCGTGTTGGTTAATAGATACGAAACTTGAAAGTGTAAAACAGAGAGGACGAGGACGGGACCAGGACATCTTTTTGAAAGATGTCCTGGTCCCGTCCTCGTCCTCTCTGTTTTATACTTTCAAGTTTTGTATGGAAATTAATAATTGCAGATCATTAGTAATTTACTAAGTACTGTACAATGGTTCTTTTGAATGTAAAAAAAAAAATGTTTAAGGAAAGAAGGAAATGTAAGGAGCTATATATACTTAATAAAGCTCTGAGAGAATTTGCTAGTCTCCTTGTAGTCTCGTGAAGGCCAGTGTAAGACTAGCATCTAGTTTTCTAATGATGCGGTATGTCGTGCACGTTAGCCGCACTTTGAGCGCCACATATCTGAGCGCGACAAACGTGAAATTTCTGTAAAGTGAAGGCTTTGAATAGAATCAAAAAGATTGGGTACCTCTGCTTACTGAACGAAAATGTGGATAAAATATTACGGAAGGATTTTTTCATATATAATTCGAAACGTGCCTCCAATAAAACCTTATTTGTGTAGGACTATTCTAATGATATATATATATATATATATATATATATATATATATATATATATATATATATATATATATATATATATATATAGTAACGATACTCGAGACTTATCCAACGCCTTGCGCAATCATCGTATTGTTATACAGTATCGTTATCAAAGCGCAAAAAAAAAATCTATAAACCTTTTTATTAACAAACCTTACACATTTTTGAAAAAAAAAAAAAGAAACGGGAGACGACTGAGGAGGAAGGGGACACACACAAAACGTCTCAGGGTTACAGTGTTTTTTTCCTTCCGACTTTAAGTTGAACCATAGCCTCCTCTATACTGGCAAAGGCTGGCAGCTCGACGATGGAGCCATAGAGTGCCCGGTCGCCGATTTGGAGCGCGAAGATCTGGTAGCACAGATCATCAAAGAGCGATTTCTCGGGGAACCTGGACGTCAGCACACAGCTTTTGCAGCGGCGAAGACTCGAAACAGACTTGTTCGCTCGGCAGATGTATGTTTCGGCGTCTCGCCGCAGCGGGGCGCCAGTCACGTGGCTCTCCTCGCATCCGTTGTCTTCCGCTCCACTTTTTTTATTTCAGCGGCCGCTTCTCGTGGTGATCTGCCAGGCTTTGTCAGTGTATAGACCTTTTTCGTGTACCCTCGTTCCCAGCCACATAATAGGCGTATGCGGTATGGGCGACGAAAAGATAATAAAACGTTTCAACCTGTAACTAGTAAAAAAAGTAGATGGGAGGCAAAACGAGAATGTGTGACAGTTACGCTTATATCCTAAATGCCTTCAATTGGCGTGACTACGCGTCAAAACAATGTTTTCGCCCATACTGGAAGTCACGACAATTCAAGATGGCGGCGCCCTAGTGGAAAAGGTCTATAGGAGGCCATGGTTGAACAGACGTACATCGTAAGTGGGTGGAGCACTGGGTTGTCAAAAACGACACAGAAAAACCGCCGTTGATCGCAGGCTGGAGTAGTGTATGATATTCCGATGGCCTGTGGGTTCTCTTACTAGACGAAACTGCGCCTAAATGATACGCTTCTTGAGCACATGAGGGCGGTCAAGAACAAGTCCCTGAATTCTGAGATGTGTGCAGGTATGCAATAATTGTTCGCCTGATTGGGGGTAAACTGTGGTGTGAAGCAAAGAAAAGATTACGCAAAAGTAGTCTCGAAGGAGACAATCAGAATTGAGTCCGTAGGCAATTGTATCAGTCAGCCGTCCATAATAAATTGAGCGACCCAAAAGGTTTTGCTGTTGTAATTCTTTTCTAGTCTTTTTGATGTTTGTTGCTTTCTTATCAGGCGTCAGGTAAGGGCTTGTGCAGGGGTGCAGGAAAGTGCGCTTGTTCAGGGCTTTGGGAAGTGCTGCTTTGTTTTGAATTGTTGCCTGTACCATTGTTGGGTACAAGTTAACGTCGTTGCTTTGTATTGAGGTGTTGACGGGATATACCGCGGTGGGAAGTCATAAAAGCGTGTGCGAATTCCGGGAGACGTGCGTGTGTGTGAGAGAGGGGATATATACACGGTTGTGCCAACAAAGTTTTGTAGCTCGTCTGAGACGTTTTGTGTTTGTTCCCTTCTTCGTTCGTCGTCCTCGTTTATTTTTTTTCCCTTGAAACTACTAACACCAACCAGCTCGCCTGTCTACTTACTCTTTCTTTAAGAAACTTTACTTACTTTAAATGCAACTGCGACCAGGACCAGCAAAGTTGGTACGTAGAAAAACGAGTACTAAAAGGAAAAGAAAAGGTGTAATGTTAGTTAGGTTCAGCTAGAACGTCCCGAACACGATGTCGACATGGTGCACACCAGTTCGACTCTCTGACGTCAAGCCACTGCGGTGGCGCTGCTGTCGGCATTGCGCATGCGCAGACGTGTCACGCGACTCTGGTTTCTGCGCACGTGCCCACACCCGATGTGGGCAAACGCGACCTTTATTGTAAACGTCGTGTTGGTGTACACACGAAGAGCAGTAACTGAATATAAATCTGTTTGGTGTGTTTCTTTTTTACTAGTAGGGACAAGTGTGTCAATGGGCCAATGTGTGTGCAGCACAAAGCATGAAAAAAAAATGGATCTTTGGGAAACGCTAACACTGACCCCCTCACTTTTCTATATTGGTTTTCTTTTTTCTCCCTTTATTTTTGCTGCCCCTTTTTGGCTTCGTTGCGGGGTCAGTGTTAGCGTCCCCCCCCCCCCCCCCCCCCCCGGCCCGAAAAAAAAAAAAAAGGGGGGGGGGGGAGGGGGCGTGTGTGGTGTTTCCCAAAGGTCATTCTAACGCATTTCCTAAAAGCCCATCAATAGATCTTTGTTTAATTTTTGCCGCCTTCTTGGACCAGCCCTAGTGTTTGGTTCACGCACCATTTTGTAGCACAAACCAAGGCATATACGTGTTCCGCACACCTCCAAGTTCAGACTCGCCCCGGTATCTTCGCGCCCATTGGCTTCCGCCCCGTGACGTCACCTTCCTCTCGCCTATGTCCTTCACTTCTCTCCTCCTCTCTACGCGGCGTGCTTCCCTTCCCACTGTTTTGTCCAGGACTCCACATAAGGACGCCGTCGGCTTTGACCAGTCAAGCGGATATTGAAACTAACTCATTAAAATACATTAGGGCGGCCGATGGAACCGAGTTATCAAGAGGCGCCGCGTCGCTTTCTCAAGGACTGGTTCGTGAACGGTGTTTCACGCGTTCGTACAACAACGATTGCAGGTATATACTCGTAGTTTTGATAAATGCGACTGTGGAGGAGGCATGTAAGAAAATACTAAAACATCCAATGTATTTTTTTTTTACATGGTTACCGACATGCGAGGTGCACTTTACTTCTTAGGAAAGCCTCGAAGAGACGTTCGCGTTTCTCTGTCTAGGGCTGTGCATGAGCTGGCGGGCCTTGCTTTATGAAATACAAGGTGAGCAGGCCTTTACTATCTTACAAACTGCGAGAAATAGAGACGCAAAAATTGTAACACTACGCAGTGAAATAAAAAAAAAAAAAAAAAACATGGAGTTTTATTTATTTATTTTTTCGTTAAAGATGGCACTGCGATCACCTGTTTTAACATGACATCAATGAAGAGGAAAGTGCAATGTATTTGTAATAATATCACAAAAGCGATACCAAGAAACACTGCACTTCCTCTTTTCCTTTTTTACGGTCGCCATTTTTATTTATAGATAACTGAGAAGCGATTGAGCAGGGCACGGGTGCCCTCGTGAATATATATTGTCTTTGGCAGGATAAGAACGCAAGGGCGCCTCTTTCGAATGTCCGGCCTCTAGCTTGCGCTCGTTGCCCTCCACCGTGCTTTGGCTGCGCGTGCACGCGCAGACACACGACACGCCGAGGCATTATCGAAGGCAAGAAGCTCGCCCTGGAGGCGGGACAACCGATGCCGCTCCCTCCTGCCACTCCTATCCCGTGTGCGGCTCCGAGAGACTCACGTTGTCTCTGCTGGCCTTCCACGCTAAGAGACCGACCCAGGACAGCACTTCGAAACCGGTGCAGAAAGAGCTCCATCGGATGAACGTACGCAGGGCTGGCTGGCAATTCTGCAAAGGTCGCGTGACACCTTGTCACTCGATGAAGGTACAAACAAGAACGACGCACTGCGTCTATTGTTTCAATGTGACGGGCCCTAGTATGCACGTTTTGCACACGCGCCAAATTACATCCGCCATTGCTGACCTTTTCATTTTTTAGGTATTCGCGCTTCCAGCGAACCTAGGGGGCGCGCTTCTCAGGCAAAATGGCTGACGAAAGGAGTCCGTTTTCGTCATTGAGCATGCGGACCACCATAATTTTTTTGCACAGCTGCAGCCTAAAATTGGTGTTACATATGAAAGAGAAACGATTTTTCGACGATAAAAACCTTCTAGTCAGTGCGGATGAATAACATGGCGGAAGCATAAAAATAATTACTACTGGAAACTTTGTTTGTTTCTATGCTACCTACGAAAACCAAGCACCGACTGCAGATGGCAGGGTTGGAACGACCTCCTTTCTTGTGCTTCTCGGCATTGCCGCTACGCGGCGTCGATTTCACTGGAGTCGCCAATACCGAGCCAGTGAAACGGGCGTTGACGAGGCTTCACAAAGGCCAACGCTGGGCAGGACACATTAGAGTCCAAAATGGCAATAACCTGGCTTGCTATGGTAATGATGAAGTGAAGTAAACGGAATAAGATGAAACTAGGGTGCTTTCATGTGCGCTTTGTTTAGGGTGATGACATCTCATCATTTTGTTTAAAACGCTTTTTTTTTTGTCCTGGAGCTCGTGAAAGAGCGTGTCTCTGCACGCGCTCTTGGCGTTGACCGTTCTACGGCGGCATTTTATTTTCTGCAATTTCGTTGCACTTTTCCTATGAGTGGGTGCTGTTGGCATCGGGTGTTACAGAGGATGTTATCACCCTAAACAGAAGGACATTGAGGCACCCTATGGACGATTGCAAGCAAGCTCACTGGCCGCCGCCATGTCTCTGCTCGTGCGGACAAGCTCGTGCCATTGCAAGCTTTCCAAAGCTATGTTCACGCGCAAGCTGCACGTGCTTGCACTCATGGGGAACCATTCGGGGCGCCATGCTTGTAGTTCTCTATACTCTGTTCGCCCTTAATCATAGACTGGAAGCTCAGTCTTTCGCGCAAGCTTTCTGCCTTTGCTAACAAAAGTGTGAACTCGCAGGTACGCGCAACCGAAGCACTGCGGAAGTCAGCGAGCTCGCGCGGGAGGCGGAGCTCCTAGTCTCTGAAAGAGGAAACAAAAACTGAAAGTCGGTTATGGCGGACCGCGTACACAGCTGCTGCAAAGCGTCTATACATTTTTCCTAAATTCCCCAAGCGCCAAGACTCCTGCTGCGAGTTTAGTTAGACGCGCTGCACGTGCTGGCGTTAGGCAGCAGTAATTAATTAACTGTCCCAAAGTAAAAGCCTAAACTAAATGGCATCTTTCACACACGTTCGTCGGCACCTTAAAGGGATACGGAATCGAAACTTGAAATATAGAGAAAACATCAAGAAATGAGTTCAATATGATCAGCTAAGCCTGTAATGAATAATCGCACGGTCGTATTTTGAGCAGATGGCTATATTTTATGCTCTAAATGCCGCGATTTTGGCGAGCGCTTCAAAATCAGCCATGGAGGAGCGCGATGCATCTCGGGAGATCCGGCAGACGTCCTGACGTCATCATGCCTCGGACGGCCAAGCGTACCGTAGTGACGAGTTTTGCCACTTGGAGGCGTCAACGCGTTACAATCTCGCTTTGTCGAAGTACTCAAGGGCTGTAGATATCGCGGGGCCAGCACGCGCACCAAACCTGAGAACAACCGAAGCACGCGTTTGCACGTCGCGCGAGAGAGCTGAAACCAAGGTGGCTCACTTCGTTTTGGCTCTTTCCACCAAGACGCCTCAGTATTGCGTTCAGGCCTAGGCAATCTATACCAGTGAGCGGACATACCGCTGCGGCGCTGCTTTCAGAGGCATGTTCTCGTCACGACATTCCATTGAAGCTTCATAACCAACTACCAGGTGGTTTTTGATTATCGTTTAATTCACTTTAAAATATGTTTTCTTGCGTTTTCTAGCGCAATATTTATGTTTCTGTGGTTGTGCTTCTACCTGCGTCGTGTTGAAACAAAGAAATGAGCTCCAGAATTTGGTTTCCGTACCCCTTTAATTTGGTTATTTACTTCGAATCTTTTATACGGGGAAGGCGAGCGCGTGCGGCTCGTAGATCTACATTGCTTGAGTAATTTAGCAAGAGGTTATAGACTCTTTTCAAAAGTAAAGATTCATTTATAGTGGTAGTCTGGACAGCTCTAACATTGCCGCTCTAATGGCGGAGATAGGAAATCAAGCTCGCCCAAATCAAGCAGCCCGGACTTCATGAATCGAAGGAGACGTAAAAGGACTTAGTGCTCTTTCCATTTCTGCGTTATGCTTCCGAAGAAGTTGGCTTTTTCTGGTGTGGAGAGATTATGCCATGGAGGTAGGAAGCTTCTGGATTCGACATGACGCCACCAGAGGCAAAGCCGGGGAAGTCTTCAAGTTTGGAGGTACACGCCCCCAACGATGACCAAACACGGGCGAAACCAAAAGACGATGATGAACGCGAAGGACACCCTTGGACACCCTTCGAGGCGTTCTGCACCAACCGCAACCTCTACTTTGGGCTAAACTTGGGATTTATTTTCTCATCTGGCTGCCTTGAGCCGGTACGTCGCTTCCTCTTTTTCCTACCTTCATGGGCTGTGCAACACCGTCATTAGAGCGTCGGATTTGTCTCTGCGCAGGGTAAGTAGACCGCCTTTACGAGAGGGTCTATTGGACATATTGGACCGCAAATGTTCGTGTATTCGCGCTAGATCGCGAAGTTTTGTATCAAAAGCAAAATTAACTGCGCTGCCAACTTGAAAAGCATATCAACGTTCAGCATGGGAAGTCACAATCATACTTAAAGGGGTCATGAAACGATTTTTCTACTTTCGCTAAATACTACTTAGTTTTTCTTTCTAAGCATTGACAGTCGCCGAAAAAATTCTAGAAATATGAGCATCGTTCATCCCCTAGAACAAGCGGCCACATGGCCTGGTGCCTATCCTATGCCGCCAACGTTAATCATAACTTCGCGCTGGAGTTGACAAAGTAGAAAACGCGTCCTCAGCTCCAGGCATTGTTGGAGTTCGATCAGTTCGGCTCTTCTCATCACCGCAGTGGTTGGACACAAGCCACTACCCGAGTGTCCGCCGAGGCGTTGATTGTTACGAGCCCAAATCGAGTGCTCACGCAGTTCTCGTGTCCGATCCATGAGCCACGCTCGACTGTTATCAGGCGTGTGCTTTCGATCCCACAGTTACGCCATCGAGCTTTGCGAAGACAATAGTTCGTTTATCCTCGCAAATTTACCGCGATAAAGAAGTTTCTGAATCAGTGGCAGTCTGTGTGATTATACTTGCCAGACTAGGAGCACTACGCCTCTTTAAAGTCATTAACATTCCAATCCAATATCGTTTTCACTACTCTTTTAAGTGTAACGCGAGACGAAAAAAAAGTAGCATTTGGACGTATTTTTGACAACTGAATATATAGCTTGTAAATGGATAGAAATAAGATGAATGACTAGACGCCAAAGAAACAAGCAAAATGACAAGGAAATAATCAATATACAACAAGAAAACGTGTCACGCTTTACAGCAAATATTAATTTAACTTCGATTGTAAATACCGCAACGTAAAAGCGAAAGGCTATTTTGTTTGCACCGGCGCGGAATAACTGTCTTATCTACATTTATTTAAGACATTGTTTTACCTATCTGCCTTTATGATTAAAATATAAGTAGTACGAAGATAATATATGCGCTTGCTTCAAGTATATTTAGATACTTGCATCTTCGATGGCGATCAGCAGAAAAAGGTCCACCATGATGCTGATGGTGGTGGTCACCACGTAAGGCACGGGAATAGCTGTGATCTCTGTTGACGATAAGACACGGTTAAAGCTTGCAGGGTAGTAAATAATAACATAAACAGCATTGACAAAATAAACGACTTATAGACGATCGTTCAACAACATGACTACCGTCCGTGTCATTAGATAACGGCGTCCGGAAGTTCAGGTGATATTGTTTTACGGTGTCGCGGACTTTCTTTTAACGTTTCTGGAGGACGCAAAATCGATTCCTGCAAGTTCAGGTCAAGCTTTAGGTAACTGGTAGCAATGATTCAAGCACTAAAATGGCTGATAATCCGTTGCTCTTAACCGTAGCTTATTCGTGGCTTTGGGCGGAACGATTAAACAATAGTGACACTAGTAGCGTGCAAAGAGAAGGACGTTTCGAGCTGCGAAAACTCACGCCCCACGTTGGTGTCGATGCTGTTCAGCTTGAAGAAGACGGTGGCCTCTTCGGGATTGACCACGATGAAGAAGAGGAGCAGTAGCACAAGGGCATTGGATATCTGTGTCGTTGTCACTCACAGTCGTTATACGGTTCGGGCCCACTGATCTTCACTAGGGGGCTGGATGGTGCTTTGAGCAAACAGGTATGAAGTTATCCGAAGTGAGCGGTTTGTCCCGGAAGTGGCTGTTTGACAGGCTTTGTAACTCTTCCGAGCATTGGTTTGAACAGTGTCGAAGAGACTAGATATTTTTCTCTTTCTTTCTATCTAAAGAGAGCCGCCTTGTTGCGCAATAACAGGGCAAGCAGACCCGAGAAGCCTTCTGGGAAGCCATTTGGTATGTTGAAATTTCGAGATTCTATAGTCGATCAGGTGTGCACGCCCCACGTTCGAATGCCTTAACTTTGGGATCTAATGCTAACGGGAAATATTAAAACCCAAATAAAAATGTAAAAAAGCGTGGACCGAAACACTGCCTGATTGCAATAAGAAACCCAGCAGGTGCCAGACTTCCGGGACAATCACCGAACTGACGGTGGCTTCACTCGCGCCTGGTTCTGAAAGCGGCTACGTGCTATTTAGCTCCCTATAGTACATACAGATCGGTGATCGAAAAAGCCTCCCGGCACAGATGGTACTTTATGATCAAGCGCCATGTAGCTTCTAATCATCAACAACACAAATATTCCCCAAATTGATGACTACTTGCTACTGCGTCTGGAGAGACACAGAAAGCAGTCATCCTTTTAACCCGCTCCTCTTTGTAATGCCCTCAGGCCCTGAGGGTACAGTAACTAATAAATAAATAAATAAATAAATAAATTATTTTGCCCACTCGAAAAAGAAAAAAAAAAAGTTTGTTGGGACAGGAACATGCACAGAACTGAGACAGAAGGCGTCGTTGAAACAACGCCTTCTGTCTTTCTCTTCGTCCCTTCCACGTTTGGTTCTTCTGGTTCTCTCCCCAGTTCTCTCCCCAGGTGGTTAAAAAAATGGTAGATCTACACCAGCTCGCCTGCGCCATTACAGCCTTTTCGCATACTGTTGCCTTTTGGATGCGGCTCTAAGCTTGGTAGGCACTGACCGCCTTAACTGGGTCTATTTTTGTTGGACGCCGCCTGACAGTGAACTTCAGCGACGTTTGCACATCGCCAAGGTTGTCGTTCTTTTTGGCAGAAGTTGGAGGTCGTTTTGAGCTTGCGCTCTGAATCACGCTCTCAAAAATGGCGCACTGAACATTCCGTCTTACAGAGGTACAACTGTACAAGCTAGAGTGCCTTCATGTACAAGCACTCTTTGATCGCGTCGCGGGCATTCGTATTAGAAGCTAGCGCCATGGGGCATCCTGTCGCCAACGCGCCGCCGGCGGCGCATCCTGCTTGCGGTGATGCCCCGCGATTTCTGACTCAACGGCACCTCATCAGGCGCCATTTTGGAGGTGAAAAAACAAACCATCACAACAACGTTGTCTTTCCTTTTTTTTCCCCGCTTTGGGCTCCTAATAATAAGAAAGAATGAATCGTGCCGCTTCCAGGATTTGATCAGCCCCACAATTTACCTCGCATCGTGCGAGGTTTCCTAGGATTTTCTGGAAAGGTTTCTTGGTTTCGTTCGAACACGCAGAGCTTCATCAGAGGCGCCAGATGACACGTTAGAGGAACGAATAGGTTCATGTTTGGTATTTAAGATGGGGAAAGGTTCTGCTTACGAAGCACAGTGCCGCGAATGCCTGGATGCTGGCTCGATCCTCGAGATGGAAGCAGCAGAAGCATACTTTGCACCGCTGCTCCTGGGGTCTGGACAAGAAGAGGCGAACCGAAAACTGACGCGCGGTGGACGATCATTGCTTTGTCCGTGTCGGCCGTGGATCACCATGCAGGTCAGACCTTCGCTCGTGATAACCGAGTGATATGACTATCCTCACCTTGGATCTTGATTGTTCATCGTGTTCATTGTTCCTTCCACGTGGTTCCTTCGTTCTCGTGCTCTGATTCCGGGCGTGCCTGTTTGGATTGTTTGGCTGCTTTGGCTTGGCTTGATATGGATTTATTATATTCCACACAAATCTCCTTTCCCAGTTGTTTTCGAAGCATCGTACCATAAATCTGAAACCCCCGTAACCTTCCCTTTTGGATTCAGGTTCAGGTTCAGAAAACTTCTTTTGAGTTCAAGTGGTTCAAAAGTGAGGGGAAGAAGAAACTGCCGGCGATTTACTACTACCAGAAAGGCTCGTTCACAAAGACCCGTTTTCTTATGTTACGTTACAAAAAGTCACCGGGAAATCTGTGCTTCGTATTAAGCGTGGCTGCCAATTCAAAGAGATAGCCTGGCACGCGACATTCGAGACACGACTGTGTCGGTGACGACGAGCTAGGACGGTGAGTTACCGTGGCAACCAGGGACACAAGGCTCGTCATAACGTAACGCAAGGAGTTGAGCTCGGTTCAGCTTTGCACACGGCGCCGTTTTCTTACGTTACGTCTAAAGCCTAGTTCACATGCAGCGGTTTTGGCCCTAAAGCGGCACGATTTCTGCCGTCGCGGCGCTCTGGCCAGCACCATCGGTTGAGCGGCACGAGCGCCGCGACGGCAGAAATCGCGCCGCTTTAGGGCCAAAACCGCTGCATGTGAAACACGCTTTAGGGCCAAAATCGCTGCATGTGAAACACGGTCGCGTGCCAAGCTATCCCCTCGAATCGGTAGCCACGCTGAATGCGGAGCACAGATTTCCCGATGACTTTTCGTAACGTAACTTAAGATAACGGGTCTGTGTGAACGAGCCTCTTACCCCCTTCACACGACCGTGAAGGTACCTTTAGGTAAGGAACCTTTATTCCCTGCGGCCAATCAATGAACGATCTTCCGCGTGTGGCGCGTGCTCGCGACCCAAGAGCACGGGCTGATTCGCCGGTAGCAAAGATTCGCCGGTAGCAATTTATACTGACCGTCGGAATGGGGTACCCAGCGTGAAATATATTTTGCCTTTTTTTTTTTTTTTGTATTTGATATACGAATGGAACAGTTCCGCATTTGGGTAATGGTGTGTTGTGTGTCCGTTTAGACACTCGAAAGTTAATTAGCCCCAGTGGGCGCCTGGTGCCTCCACTGCTGATGGAATATTTAGCCGGTGCAGTACGACTGCAAGCCTAGACCACCGTGGCCTAGACACGACAGCACGCTGCTGCTCATGCAGATCAGAACGGGCAGGGGTTGGGGATAGATCACCGTGGGATAGGTCGGGCCACGGTTTAAGATTCACTCTTTAGGTGAGGACACGGCGGGGCTGAACGCGCGGCGCGAGGAATTATACGGTGTTCGTTCGACGGGCATCCGAAAGGCTGCATTATTCCGCGGCCACCGTGTCCGTAGAGCCCCTCGATATGTTTTCGTTTGTACGTGCCCGCGGCTGACAGCGTCACCGGCGGCCAAACGGCGAAACTGTGTGAGAGCGAAAAAAATTATCTCGTTGCCATGACCCCCCGGCACACCGTGGTCTTTCTGCGCGAGCGACAACCTCGCTGGAGCTCTGCGTGTGTGGAGCATGAGGCGGCACGAGCCGTCTTCGCCGTGCCCATGGGTCGACGAGTCATCTGCCGGCGCCGCTTGAAACCATAATGAGAGAGAGAAAGAGAGAGAGTGAAAAGCGAACTTTATCTGCACTGCGCGAGGAGCGCGCTGTGGGTCCGGCAGAATGTCTGGATTCTGCGTGAGCTTCCACTTCACGTGCTCCGATCTTCGCTGCGCTAACTCACTCGGCCACCAATACCCCAATTTCATATTTCAGATTAATAAAGAAATGCGCAAGTAGAACGTTTTACCTTCGGACTGTCCACTGCCAGTTCTTGGGCAAGCAGATGCCATCCGTGGAACGTTTCATGGCCGTGTCCCACTAGAGCGACAGACAGAAACAAATGACAGCGACAAGCCTCAAACCAGAGTCTTTCGCGATTTGAGAGGCTTTGCAGAATAAAAGAGGGTATGCTCAAAACACGAGCATCATGCGCGCGAGGGTATCTTTGGCAAGCTTGCAATCGCTCACGGTTACTTCACGAGCACCGAACGACTAAACGCCTGCCAAAGGTACCATCGCGAGCATGCTGCATGGGTTTGAGGCTTGTAGATAAAATAGTGAGGGTGCAGGCGAGCTGGTGGATGTTAACCATGTTGAATATACCCGAGACCGGGGTAGAAAGGAACACAGATTTCCCGATGACTTTTCGTAACGTCCCAGTCTCAGGTATATTCAACATGGTTGAGGCTTGTCGCTGTCTTTTGTTTCTGTCTGTCGCTTTCCTTCATCCAGACCACGACCTCCTCTATACACCTTTTTCCACAAGAGCGCAGAAATCTTCAATCTCGTCACTTCTGGTATGTTGTAAAACATTGTTTTGATCCCTTCACGCCGCTGGCAGGCATTTACGAAAAAAGCGTGATTGTCACACATTCTTGTTTTGCCACACATATATTTTATCGCATATTCCAGGCTGAAATGTTTTATTAGTTTTTCGTCCCGCTTACCATGCACGGAACCCACATGACTGAAGATGACAGGAAACAGAAAGCGTCTATAAAAAATTGGGTTGTGGGGATATTTATACAGCGTGTAGTTGGTTAGCCATTATAAAGTTGCGACGAGTCACACGCTGTAGATGAGCAATTTAGCCAGTGCAGTACAACCGCTAGCCTGCGGTCTCTAACGTGCACCACGCAGTATACTCTGTTTCATACTTAGCGTGCAACGCTGTCAAAGCTACTGGCGCGAGCGTGGGGCTTGATCTCGTTGATCATTTGCACTCGTTCTCGCGCAAACAAAACCATAAATGAAGCCACGCGCTCGCGCCAGTAGCTTTGACAGCGTTGCACGCTAAGTATAAAACAGAATAGTGATACACGACCGCACGCCGGTACGATGCTCATCCAGATCGAAACGGGCAGGGGTGGGGCTCGAACCCAGGATCCCTGGGTTCTGCAGCGCGAGCTTTCGCTCCACGCGCGTCGATGTGGGTGTGCGCTTTAGCCCACTCGGTTACCGATCCTTTTTTTTATTTTTTTTTTATTGCATGGTAGTTATAGCAACATTCATGTCATTCTAACAGCGTTGTACAGCTCTTTTGCACAGCGTATTAAAAATCACGCATTTCGAGGAGTGATTTTAAAATACTAGTCCACTCCGGTTCAGGTTCACAATTCAAATACACACTCTGTACTTGTTTTACAAGGTTAAAGAAATATATCCGTACCTCTTTTGCGTCGAGGTCAGCATGTCGAACAGCCATACGTGATCTCCAAATGCTGCACAAAGCTAATAACATAATCATGTCATAAGGAACGTCATTATCATAATCCACACTAAGGAAACGTATCCCTGTTGGGGTTACAGGTAGTTCTTTCTTTAAAGTGCGTTGGAGGACATCCCAGAAAAATACCGCGTCCCAACAATAAATAAACAAATGTTCGATAGTCTCAGGTTTTTTACATAAAAGGCAATTTACCGACCATGGCACATAGATCCCTCTTTCTTTAAGCCAAACCTTAACTGGCAAGGTATTCGTGTGTAATTTATAAAAGAAAGTCTTAACAGCCGCGGGAACACAGATCCTTTTTACACGTCTAATCACATCATGGCGACGTTGGGACACACCTCGATACAAGGGCATGGGGAAAACTCAACACAAAATCACGATAGAGCGCTTTTTTACTGACATCACAAAGGTAATTCAAAGAAAAACGTGCTGTCAAAAACCCCATCGTGTCAACAATCTTTTTCAAAAACCCTGTGATTCTTGTTGGCTCGCCGCCATGAGAAGAAACAAGAAAAGATGGCAAATGTGGTGACACTTTTGTTTGAATCAGTGTGCGAATGAACAGGTGCTCTTGGTCTCTCAAAAAAAAGAAAAAAAAAGAAGCGTGACACAAGCTGCTTGACAAAAACGTGGGAAAGCACCACGCCACCGTTACAAACTCGATGAAAAGGATTGTCTCGTCTCATCGGCTCATACTTCGAGCTCCAAATAAACGTGGCAAAAATTCGATGAAATTTTTGAACATTACTTCGCGCACAATGGATGACCTGAAGAACATACCAGAGCTTCGCACTAAGAAAAACGTTACAAACAGTCGCTCGGGCAAAAATAGACAGCTCGCGTTGCTTCCAACGAGAAGCACGCTTGTCCCGACACCCGACCAGTACGTTTGGCTATTCCGGAAACTGTGCAATGGCACCCCGAGGTACTTGCACGGCACTGTGTCCCAGCATACACCCTCAAATTCTGAGGGTGTAGTGGCCCAAGCGCCATGCCAAAAACCACGGCCCATCTATACTTATTCTAGTTTAGACCAACGTTACTAGAGGAGTTCGGTTTGGAAACGCGCTTCCCCTTGCTTGACGCCATTTTGAAGAGCGCGCGAGAGGTGATGCAGTGGTCGCCCTAAGATCCATTCTCGGCGATCTCTAATGTTCGTTGTTGCTCCCCATGTTTTCACACGTGTCATCGGTAATTCTTCGTAAGCTCGCAAGTTTTTTTTTTTTTTTTTTTTTTCGCCCCTGGAATTTTTAGCGTTTCGCCGAGAGCAAGAATGGCTATCTGCTGCACTCTCGGCTGTCGCGTCGGGTCCGCTTTACAAGCGTCGAAAAGTGACAAAAGTCGCAAAGTTCTGTTGCCACAGATGGGACAATTAGAGCGACTAAATGAGATACGCCATTTTGTTGCTTGTGCAGAGCAGACACAACTGCCGATCGTCACGATTCAAAAGTGCGACTTCCAAAGCATTACATTCGGTGTTAGGAAGCTCATGAAATATTGCTTTGCTCTGTCATGATTTGTTTAAACAGGTGCCTTTTGCCTTTTCTCCTACGTGTCGGGTTTTACAATGTTGAAAGTTCTTTTAGAGCGCAGCTCTTAAGGCGCATTCACACGGGGCAAAAGACGCGCGTTGCGGTCGACGTCGACGCCG